AGTCACTGCTCCAGCATGACCTGACATGTGCCTCAGTCACTGCTCCAGCATGACCTGACATGTGCCTCAGTCACTGCTCCAGCATGACCTGACATGTGCCTCAGTCACTGCTCCAGCATGACCTGACATGTGTCTGTCACTGCTCCAGCATGACCTGACATGTGCCTCAGTCACTGCTCCAGCATGACCTGACATGTGCCTCAGTCACTGCTCCAGCATGACCTGACATGTGCCTCAGTCACTGCTCCAGCATGACCTGACATGTGCCTCAGTCACTGCTCCAGCATGATCTGATATGTGCCTCAGTCACTGCTCCAGCATGATCTGATATGTCTCAGTCACTGCTCCAGCATGACCTGAATTGCTCTCAGTCACTGCCAGCATGACCTGACATGTGCATCAGTCACTGCCACAGCAATCTGATATGTTCAGTACACGCTCCGCAGATCTGACATGTGCCCAGTCACGCTCACACGACTGACATCCTCATCACGCTCCAGCATGACTATATGCCCATCACTCTCACACATGATCTGATATTCTCATCATGCTCCAGCATGAACCTACATGTGCCTCAGTCACTATTCCAGATGACTACATGTGCTATCACTGTCACATGATCTGACATGTCTCAGATCACTGTCAGCATGACCTGAATGTGCAGTACTGCTCAGCATGATCTGACATGTTCCAGCACTGCTCCAGATGACCTGACATTGCCTCAGCACTGCTCCAGCTGATCTGACATGTCTCAGTCACTGCTCCAGCATGACCTGACATGTGCCTCAGTCACTGCTCCAGCATGATCTGACATGTCTCAGTCACTGCTCCAGCATGACCTGACATGTGCCTCAGTCACTGCTCCAGCATGATCTGACATGTCTCAGTCACTGCAGTAATACTCTCAACTGCTCTTAATAACCCACTACTTCATACATTGACAACATCTACCACAGTCCACACTATATGATTCAGTGTAAACGCGCGCGCGCGCGCGCGCGCACACACACACACACACACACACACACACACACACACACACACACACACACACACATCACTACTACACAACAAACATAATACATCAAATATATATATATATATATAATATATATATATATATATAATGTAAGTAAGAGAGGAGAGAGAGAGAGAGAGAGAATCTGGCTGGTGTCGCCAGCAAACTAACTCCGAGAAAACCTTCCCTAAATTCTTCTGTTGCTACTCTTGCAACATTGCATAACTCCTGATGACCCACGGAGACGTGTGAAAGTACTTGAGCTGAAGACTTTCATCCCCTGTGGCTTGTCTTGCATATATATATATATATATATATATATATATATATATATATATATATATATATATATATATATATATATATATATATATATATATATATATTAACACACACAAAACAATCGCAGACAGACGATGTTAAGAATGCAAGACAAGTCACGGGGGGGGGGGGATGGAAATCTTTATCTCAGATACTTTTACACTTCTCAGTTCATCAGGAGCTGTGCAATGTTGCAAAGACAGCAACAGGAGAAATAGGGTAAGTTTTTCAGAGTATGGTAGTGTGTAGGCACTAGCCAATATATGACTGAGGAAGAGAGGCCCAGCCGAATATCAACCACACACTGGTCCCCCCACACCCCACCCCATATGGGGTCGGGTGGAGTCGGCCCCACTGCAGATAGCATGAGGTAAAATAACTAGGAGATAGTTAATAGCCAGCCCAAACCTTCTAACCATTGGGAACAGGTCATGTGATATAAGATCATTTACATACAGAATGCAGCTAATGTGAACAACCTTGTAAGTAATGAAATTGAAGGAATAAATCCCTCATTTTATCAGCTGGTAATACCCGATGTCGCAAAAAGTTCTACAATATTCAGGAAATACTGTGTTAATGTCTGTGTGAATTCTCCTATTCAGACTTTTCTTTCATATAATTAGGCAATTCCTGATTTTTCTTTTACTATCATTGTTATCCACTATCATCCTCTATCATTATAACATTACTAACAACCAAATTCAGTAAACCACTAAACTAGTTGCAACCAACTTGTTGCAGTCAATTATGTATACCTTGTTCCACTGTACCTAGTCGGGTTACAACCTCAATAGGTGGTCACTTTGCCTCTCTTTTGTGCTATCCTAGGATGATTGCACATGTGCATCCATACCTGAATGAACCTCCATGACTACTTCCCTGGGTTATAAAGACTGTTGCAGTAGACCTAACATGTTAAATATCGACGTTTGCGACGGACCTAACAGGATGTTATATCGACAAGTGACGGGCGTACCATGATGTTCAGTTTGCAGATTATCGAATTTATACAGCCCATAATTTGAATTATATTTGGCATTCCTATCATGTTTCAAGAGGAAGGACTCAATTATGTTACTTTCCATGATGGAACTATTGGGTACAATTATCTGGGCGTCAGCCCACCTCGGTGGGTGATTACAAGAGCTGACATGGTTAAAGATCACATTCGACACCTGGCCTGTCCTGATTGAGTACTTGTGTTGGGATAATCTAGTATCTAAAGGTTTATCCGTCTGGCAAGTGTATGAGAGTGGGCAAAGGCTGCATGGGACCTTGTAGACACCACCCATATTATTAGGCAGTGTGTTTTAGATCAATCTCTGTTTCACTGTCCCAATGTTTTTGAAAGTCAGATTTATATTGATTTTTTTTTTAGTCCCTCACAGAGGCAGACCAAATTGTCATTGTATGGCAAGACCAATACAGCTTTCTGTTAGGTGTTTCCTTAGAATCAGTCCCGTAGAAAGTCTTCCTAGCTGACAGTAGGGCCTTCTCAAAATCCCTGGGGTCTCAGTTTTGTGGCTTTCTTAAATATCTTGTTGATTTCATCTTCTAAATACTCAGGACTGCAGATATGCAAAGTTCTCAGGAACATTGTAAGGAAAATACTCCTGTAGTCCTAGATTCATGATTTTAATAAATGTATGACGACACATTGGTGGTCTTCCTGTATACTGTAAATTTGAATCTTCTGTCATCGCGATGGACTGGGCTTCTCTCCCCTCAGTCATATATTGGCTGGTGCCACCACGCTACCATACTCTGAAAAACTTTCCCTATTTCTCCTGTTGCCGTCCTTGTAACATTGCACAGCTCCTGATGAAGCACTGAAGTGTGAAAGTACTTGAGCTAAAGCTTTCCACCCCCGTGGCTTGTCTCGCATATATAATATCGTGCCGAATAGGTAAAACTGGTCAATTAGCAAGAACTCCTTTAAAATTAAGTCCTTTCTAAAATTTTCTTTTATACGTTTAAATATATTTTTTTATATATGTTTATGTAAAAATTAATAATTTTGTACCAAAAGAACCTTAGAAAACTTACCTAAACTTATTATAATAAGCACAATTTAATTTATCCTAATCCAACTAAATATATTTTATACAAGTTTACAATAATTTAAAAATAAACAAACACAGTGAAGCATTTTTTTTTAGATTCAGAATGATTTTTGCGAAATTATTGCATACACAAATTTCCAAGGAGAATGTTGCTATTTAAGCCAAAATCGCAAGTTTTACATACTACCCTTAATCTGAGATCAGGAAGCTACGGAGGATTCAGAAGACGGAGGATTCAGAATACCAGAGATCAGGAAGATTACGGAGGATGTCAGACATAACGGCAGGAGTCAACAAGTAAAGTGCGAGACCAGATACACCTCCTTCATGTGGTGAGACACCTGCCCCACCACACTTCATTTGTGGCAGCATCAAGCTATAATTTACCTTGAATACAATTACCATCATAGCGGACTAGCACTATATACTTTTTAAGCTAAAATTGACTTTCTACCAGCACCACTATCCAACCCACTGTCAACCTTTAACATTCCACCCACCTTATAACCCACTAAAAACAACTACTCACACACCCATATCACCAACCCACTCCAAGCCCGACAACCTTCTACCACCCCTCCCTATACCAACCCACTCCAAGCCCACAACCTTCACCACCCCTCACTATACCAACCCACTCCAAGCCACAAACCTTACCACCCCTCCCTATACCAACCCACTCCAAGCCCACAACACCTTCACCACCCCTCCCTATACCAACCCACTCCAAGCCCACACAACCTTCACCACCCCTCCCTATACCAACCCACTCCAAGCCCACACAACCTTCACACCCCCTCACTATACCAACCCACTCCAAAGCCCACAACCTTACCACCCCTCCCTATACCAACCCACTCCAAGCCCACAAAAACCTTTCACCACCCCTCCCTATACAAACCCACTCCAAGCCCACAACCTTCACCACCCCTCCCTATACCAACCCACTCCAAGCCCACAACAACCTTCACCACCCCTCCCTATACCAACCCACTCCAAGCCCACAACAACCTTCACCACCCCTCCCTATACCAACCCACTCCAAGCCCACAACAACCTTCACCACCCCTCCCTATACCAACCCACTCCAAGCCCACAACAACCTTCACCACCCCTCCTCCATACCAACCCACTCCAAGCCCACAACAACCTTCACCACCCCTCCCTATACCAACCCACTCCAAGCCCACAACAACCTTCACCACCCCTCCCTATACCAACCCACTCCAAGCCCACAACCTTCACCACCCCATCCCTATAACCAACCCACTCCAAGCCCACAACAACCTTCACCACCCCCCCTATACCAACCCACTCCAAGCCCACAACAACCTTCACCACCCCCGATAAACTCTCTCCAGCCAAACAACTCGGTAAACCCCACCTTATACCAACCCACTCCAAGCCCACAACAACATTCACCACCCCTCCCTATACCAACACAATGACACCCAATACAACCCAGAAAATTACATTCTAATTCATTCTACACAATTTAACCTAACTAATCAGACCTCAAATCATGCCTATCCCCCCCCCCCCCCCACACACAACATTCTTCCCGGTACACACTCACCCGCTTCTCTCCTCTCCAGATAAGTGGTCTCCGGTTCGAGACTCAACTACGGACGCTGAACCAGTTCCCGGACACGCTACTGGGAGACCCTGCTCGACGCATCCGGTACTTCGACCCGCTGAGAAATGAGTACTTCTTCGACCGCAACCGGCCGAGCTTCGACGCCATCCTGTACTACTACCAGAGCGGAGGTCGACTCAGAAGACCTGTCAATGTTCCTCTCGATGTTTTCGCGGAAGAAATCAAGTTCTACGAACTGGGTGAAGTGGCCATCAATAAATTCAGGTGAGAAATACACCGCACGAAAGTGGCTGCCCTTTGTCTTAATATTTTATTAAAGTAAACTGTGTTTTGTATACTGCAGAAAGAAGTAAGGCTTTTGTTTGTATAAGTCAGATGAGGAATAGTTATTCACTGATATAGCCAGTAAATAGTTACTGGCATGGGAAGCTCTAAATTCGCATGGCTTATTTAACGCATCTTAGAAGAATTATTGCATCTGAAGGCTTCAAACCCGTGTAGGTCATTCAATGCCAGCTCTGGCGAAGGGGGAAGTTATTAAATAAATTGGAAAGCACTAAACCCGTGTGGGGGCTATTCGGCACATGATGAAGGCTCGATCCTCCGTCTGGTAATCACGTCCTAGTCTCTCGCCAGGGGGGAGAGAGAGAGAGAGAGAGAAAGGGAAGGAAAATGAAAAAAAGGGGAGATGAACGGGGGTGATAAGAGGCTGTTTGCTCTTGTTAGTACTTGTTGTTAGTTGCTGTTGTTAGCTGCTGTTGTTAGTTGCTGTTGTTAGTTGCTGTTGTTAGCTGCTGTTGTTAGCTGCTGTTGTTAGTTGCTGTTGTTAGTTGCTGTTGTTAGTTGCTGTTGTTAGTTGCTGTTGTTAGTTGCTGTTGTTAATTGCTTTGTTAGTTGCTGTTGTTATTGCTGTTGTTAGATTGCTGTTGTTAGTTGCTGTTGTTAGCTGCTGTTGTTAGTTGCTGTTGTTAGTTGCTGTTGTTAGTCGCTGTTGTTGGTTGTTGCTGTTGTTAGTCGCTGTTGTTAGTTGCTCTTGTTAGTTGCTCTTGTTTGCTGGTGATAATCTTGTGAGAGAGAGACTCATCTCTCACAGAGGAATCAGCCAGACTGTCAATGTGGGCGAAACGTCCAAGACATCAGCAATTGAGAGACGTCAGCAATATGAGAGACTTCAGCAATATCAGAGACGTCAGCAATATCAGAGACGTCAGCAATATCAGAGACGTCAGACAGACACAATGGAATGGTCTTGTTCGGACTCAACAAGACAGAGTTGATGGTGTTCACTGACTTGATGAAGGCGTCTGTATGGTAAGAAAATGTCTGGGTAGACAGGTAATGAAACAGTGCATAGACAGATTAGAAAAGACACAGGGAGGGGATCAATAAAGACACAGGGAGGGGATCAATAAAGACACAGGGAGGGGATCAATAAAGACACAGGGAGGGGATCAATAAAGACACAGGGAGGGGATCAATAAATACACAGGGAGGGGATCAATAAAGACACAGGGGGGATCAATAAGATACGGGAGGGAATCAATAAAGACACAGGGAGGGATCAATAAAGACACAGGGAGGGGATCAATAAAAGACACAGGGAGGGGATCAATAAAGACACAGGGAGGGGATCAATAAAGACACAGGGAGGGAATCAATAAAGATACGGGGAGGGAATCTATAAAGACACAGGGAGGGGATCAATAAAGACACAGGGAGGGGATCAATAAAGACAGGGAGGGGATCAATAAAGACACAGGGAGGGATCAATAAAGACACAGGGAGGGGATCAATAAAGACACAGGGAGGGGATCAATAAAGACACAGGGAGGGGATCAATAAAGAACAGGGAGGGAAACAATAAAGCACAGGGAGGGGATCAATAAAGAGACAGGGAGGGGATCAATAAAGACACAGGGAGGGGATCAATAAAGACACAGGGAGGGGATCAAAGATACGGGGAGGGAATCAATAAAGACACAGGGAGGGGATCAATAAAGATACGGGGAGGGAATCAATAAAGACACAGGGAGGGGATCAATAAAGACACAGGGATGGGATCAATAAAGACACAGGGAGGGATCAATAAAGAACGGGAGGGAATCAATAAAGACACGGAATGGGATCAATAAAGGCACAGGGAGGGGATCAATAAAGACACAGGAATGGGATCAATAAAGACACAGGAATGGGATCAATAAAGCACAGGGAGGGGATCAATAAAGACACAGGGAGGGGATCAATAAAGGACACAGGGAGGGATCAATAAAGACACAGGGAGGGGATCAATAAAGACACAGGGAGGGATCAATAAAGACACAGGGAGGGGATCAATAAAGACACAGGGAGGGGATCAATAAAGACACAGGGAGGGGGTCAATAAAGACACAGGGAGGTGAGATCAATAAAGACAGGAAGGGGGAATCAATACAGGCAGGGTCAATAGACACGGGGGTCAATAAAGACACAGGGAGGGGTCAATAAAGACACAGGAGGGGATCAATAAAGACACAGGGAGGGGTCAATAAGACACAGGGAGGGGGTCAATAAAGACACAGGAGGGGATCAATAAAGACACAGGGGGATCAATAAAGACAAGGGAGGGGTCAATAAAGACACAGGGAGGGATCAATAAAGACACGGGTGGGGATCAATAAAGACACAGGGAGGGATCAATAAAGACACAGGGAGGGGTCAATAGACAAGGAGGGGATCAATAAAGACAGGAGGGGGTCAATAAAGACACAGGGAGGGGGATCAATAAAGACAGGGAGGGGATCAATAAAGACACAGGAAGGGGTCAATAAAGACACAGGAGGGGGATCAATAAAGACACAGGGAGGGGTCAATAAAGACACAGGAGGTACAATAAGAAAACAACAGGAAACGGGGGATCAATAAAGACACAGGAGGGGTCAATAAAGACACAGGGAGGGGTCAATAAAGACACAGGGAGGGGGATCAATAAGACACAGGAGGGGGATCAATAAAGACACAGGGAGGGGTCAATAAAGACACAGGAGGGGGTCAATAAAGACACAGGGAGGGTCAATAAAAGACCACAGGGAAGGGATCAATAAAGACACGGGAGGGGGTCAATAAAGACACAGGGAGGGGGTCAATAAAAGAGACACAGGAGGGGTCAATACATAATAACACAGGGAGGGGGTCAATAAACAGAGGGCAAAAAGGAAGGGGAGTCAATAAAGACACAGGAGGGGTCAATAAAAACACAGGGAGGGGGTCAATAAAGACACAGGAGGGGGGTCAATAAGACACGAGGGTCATAGAACGGGAGGTCAATAAAGACACAGGAGGGGTCAATAAAGACACAGGAGGAGGTCAATAACACAGGGAGGGGGTCAATAAAGACACAGGGGGGATCAATAAAGACACAGGAGGGGGTCAAAAGACACAGGGGTAGGGGGTCAATAAAGACACAGGGAGGGGGATCAATAAGACACAGGAGGGGGTCAATAAAGACACAGGGGTGGGTCAAAAAGACAATGGGTGAGGTCATATAGACCAGGGTGGGGTCAATAAAGATACAAGGGTGGAGTCAATAAGAACAGGGAGGGAGTCAAAAAGAACGGGGAGGAGGTCAAAAATACAGGGGGAGGGGGTCAATAAGACACAGGGAGGGGGTCAATAAAGAACAGGGGGGGTCAATAAAGACACAGGGTGGAGGTCAAAGATACAGGGAGGGGGTCAAAGATACAGGGGGAGGTCAAAAGATACAGGGAGGGGGTCAATAAGACATCAGGGGTGGGGTCAAAAGAACAGGGGGGGGTCAATAAAGATACTGGAGGGGTCAATAAGAACAGGGGGGGCAATAAAGATACAGGGGGGGGTCAATTAAAGATACAGGGGTGGGGTCAAAAGATACTGGATGGAGGTCAAAGATACAAGGGGTGGGGTCAATAAAGATACAGGGATGGAGGTCAAAGAGTACAGGGGTGGGGTCAATAAAGAACATGGGGTGGAGGTCAAAATACAGGGGTGGGGTCAATAAAGATACAGGGGTGGGGGTCAATAAAGATACAGGGGGAGGTGTGGGGTTCATAAAGATCTGGGGTGGGGGTCAATAAAGATCAGGGGTGGGGTCAATAAGATACAGGGGTGGGGGTCAATAAGATGCTGGGGTGGGGGTCAATAAAGATACAGGGTGGGGGGTCAATAAAGATACAGGGGTGGGGGTCAATAAAGATACAGGGGTGGGGGTCAATAAAGATACAGGGGTGGGGTCAATAAAGATAGCATGGGGTGGGGGTCAATAAAGATACTGGGGTGGGGGTCATAAAGATACAGGGGTGGGATACATAGTACAAATATCAGGGGTGGGGGTCAATAAAGACTGGGGTGGGGTCATAAAGATACAGGGGGTGGGGGTCAATAAAGATACAGTCGCAGGTGGGGGTCAATAAGATACAGGGGTGGGGTCAATAAAGATAGGGGGTGGGGTCATAAAGATGCTGGGGTGGGGGTCAATAAAGATACAGGGGGTGGGGGTCAATAAAGATACAGGGGTGGGGGTCAATAAAGATACAGGGGTGGGGGTCAATAAAGATGCTGGGGTGGGGGTCAATAAAGATGCTGGGGTGGGGGTCAATAAAGATGCTGGGGTGGGGGTCAATAAAGAGACAGAGTAACATTAGTAAAAATATTTCTGGCAGATGGGAGAGGCCAGTAACTGCTCCTCACTCCTCGTATCAACACCAGCTCCTTCCCCGCCAAATGAGGAGTGAGGATTTAATGGGGTAATAAATTAGGTGGAGGGGGAGGGGGCTCCCCCCTCCCCCTCCCACACCATTAAGACGAGTCCCGGTAGACCTAACTTGTTCTCGTATATCCGGTTTATGGCGCCACTCCCCCTCCCTTATATCCTCCCCCTCCTCCTCTTCCCTTCCCCTCTTTCACCATCTTTCAGTGCTGGTCTCTCTCTCTCTCTCTCTCTCTCTCTCTCTCTCTCTCTCTTTTTCACAGGGTTTGACAAGGTTAAGGATCCCTAGCTTTATTGACAGCTATTTACAGGTTAAGGATTCCTAACTTTATTGGCAAGCTAAGAGCTGTTACCTACATCAGCTCATTTGAAAGCATTTTTATTGTTATGAGACATACAAGTAGGGAACAGGATGAAGTTGGAGTCATCTGTGGGCCAGCATTTTCATTTGATCAACTGACTTTATCTCGTTGACATCATTATCCTGTACGAATGTGTTCCATACTCGAGTCATCCTGGGTATGTATGATCTCAGATGGAGTGA